ACAATCCGACTGAAGCAGGAAAATTTCTCTCGCAATAACAACACAAACTGCACAAGAAGACATAAATTTATTACTCACAAAAACAACTGCTGCCAGGTCTTCTCAAGAAGCCGTAATGACCAGCCAATGTTCCTAAATGAATATGAGTTTAAAGAACGATGACAGTCGTCTTCGCTAAAAACATGTTTTCTGGATTTCGCCGAGCAAAACGTAAACATCTTTTCAGCAAATCCAAACCATACTCCACGACTTCTTACGAACATGTTAGGATTGCAACTTTAAGTGAACTTTAAGACTCTTTTACCTTTGTTTCTACTTAGTTTCCATTGATCGTTAACGAATAAAGAAGCAAATTTTCTATCTCAGTTTTACAGAAAGAATATTTTCATTCAAACTAGACGATTGTGGCGTGTTCGTAATCAGCCAATAGAACCGTTTGTTATTGTGTAGCGCGTTACGAGAATTTTGCAGTTCATCAAAAAGCAAGCATTTTTGTCAGCTATGTTATAAAAGAATTTGCTCTTGCTTTTAGTTGTGCAACTCAAGAAGCTAGAGTTGCACTCGGCTATCGCCTCGTGCAACTCTTACGCATCTTTCGTGCTCTCCAAACTTCCCGCGTGCATCCATAACTCGATATACGCACGCTAAGCATGAACAAATTCTTAATTATTGCATCCCTATTGTCTGTGGCATTGGCAAGATGAGTAATTTTATTATCGGACATATTAAGAGGCCCTGCCAAAACTCCACTGGACTTATCCAGGAATTTATTTTCTGACCATATTTTGTGGCTGGTTGATCATTTCCATTTGGTTGAGCTAAATTATATATCCTATTGTTATTCATATCTAAATTGCCGGTCATTAAACCACCAGAAAGTGATAGTTTAGTATCAGCATAAGACTTGTTTACCCCTTGATCATTATTGATGGTTGTCTTGACATTATAGATATAATTGGTTCCCATATCCACATCCCCTTCAAAAAGACAAAGAATATACCTTATGTTTGGAAATCCTTACCACAGACCATCAATTGTGGCAAAAATCTATAATTACTGTTGATACAACTACCAGCCAGGGAATTACTGTAGAAAGATGGCATGTCAATAAGTACTCACATGAGTATAAAACATCCTCCAATCAGACAGAATTTATGTATTACCATAAGCTTGTGGTAGTAGTCAGTAAAACAGCTTCATCAACGCCTTATTTTCTTCACGTGGGAAATATTATGGCGCAGGCGGGGTTTGACCTGGGAGTTTATCCAACTAATTTTAATAAATATTACCTATTATTAAAAACTGAATCATTGGATAATGCAATTCTAGCATTTTGATTGGCTTAGCCGTTATGGTATATGAGCCAATATACCACGTTCTCCATATATGGTCGGTGTACGCGTCAGTTTAAAATTGGAAGCTAGCTGAGATTTTTTTTCGCGAAGGATAGAACGGCGCCCGAAGCAAATCGTTTTAATTCATTTCTTAGAATACTAGAAATGCAATTTCAACGAAAGAAAAAAGACAAAAACAAACAAAAAAGCCACAAGAGCTTGTTTGAAAGTTTGTCGAAAAACACATGAAAACACATGGAACTAAAGTACCTTGACCAGCTACGAAAGAAGACAAGTGTTGTTTCTTCATGATCGCGAAGCCATTCGCCGATCGAGTCACTCGCCGATAGATAACTGCAGCTTGTTTATCCGACATCAAGAATATAAATCACAAGTAACCAGCTACAAATACAGGCTATGCAGCCATTCACTAGAGCAATCGAGGCGGCAGTATAGCTTCTTTTCTCGTTCAGCAAAACCAGCTTGTGGCTTCAAACAACTTCATAACAAGCGACCGAGGTAATACCGGTAGTTTTTCTCCGTTGTTCTTACTTTTATAACTGCACCGAAAATCCAAATTCATAGTAATTTCGACGGCTGTCACTTAAAAATTCCTTTCCTTCACATTATCTGCCAGGTTTTTTAAGCTGTCCTGCTGTGTAAAATCCTAGAATCACGATGAGTTTTTAAAAAACTAATGTTCATCGCACAATGATTTGATTTTTCATTCATGCAGTCTAGGCGAGTCCGTTCGCGCGTTGACAGTTTTGATAGACGTGTGACATGTCAATAGCGGAAGTCCCTTGTCTTTTCCGGTTTGTTCTAGTCGGGGCGATTCAACGAGATTTTGTGGGCATTTTTAATAAAACAATTATTCCACTCGGGCTTGTTGGATATGAAATGATTATAGCCAACTCGGCGCTATGCGCCTCGTTGGCTATCTATCATCTCATATCCAATGCGCCCTCGTGGAATAATTGTTAAATAGCATATGGTATTCTCGGCGAAACAATGGATTTACACCCAAACAAGACATATGATGATCATACGGGATTTGATATCCAGCCCACAAAAGTTGTCTACAATGTGGATCTCGATGTGAACCGCAGGAAGATATTAAATATTGTTCCGGATAAAAGCCGTAATAATAGTGCGGCGACTGTAAAGATGTTCAAAGATTTGGAGACAAAAATAGCCCCTTATCAAAGAATAATGTGTATAGGAAAATATTTGAAGGATGTTATGATTTCAGTGATGCTAGTAACTATAAACTGACATTAGCAGCATCAGGTATCACATTTATAGGTATAAATCCTAACATAAATTTCCCCAAATGAATATTGCCAATGTTCAGGAGGGTGGATTGAGATTACAAAATCAAACATTGGATTTAACATTATTCAGTGAAAAGAGCTTTACTATTTGTGTTGTTATGCAATTACGGCTAAATAGATCAATGAGTATAAAAACGATTATGAGCAATGGATCTTACGAAAAACCACATTTTATTTATGACCATACAACAAAGAAATTAAAACTACAAACTAATGATGATGACGAAGATTCCATCACTGTGCTAAATAGTTTCAATGGTAAACGAGTTGTGTTTTAGCTAACTAAAAACGGTACGGGCTTTAGACTAGTCGTGAAAGTGTCAATATCCAATCATTCTGCAACCTTTATGCGACTATCAAATTTGGCATCCCAAAATAACTATAAATTCCAAATAACATCAAAAGACGCTGTGATCCTTAAAGTAACGTATTCTCCAAATTTCTACGACTTCGATTCCATGCAATATCATAAAAAAATAAAAATTAAACGGCTCATATATCCTATAATAGTCTAAACTAATAATATAATGAACAAAAAAGATATATTCAATTCTAAATATTGGTACAAAAAAATTAAAGCAGATTCAAGATCTCTACGCGTACTATCATAAAATTACCTGGATTTATTGGCATTCTCACAAGCGAAACAAGAAAATAAATTATGCTGTAAATATACCAAGCGTTTTGCTTACTAGTTTAAAGGTAATAACAGGAGGCATTACACTAAACCCGATTGTATTAGGCACATTAACAACCGCCGGAATATTACTAAAAAGTTATCATGAATTCAAAAACATTAAGAGTAAAACTGATCTACTGAAATGCAGTCTTAGAGAAGCAATGAGGGGTGGAGATTTTGATTATAAAGATTTTATTCATGATTTGAAGATTCTTGATCTGGAAATTCTGGATTTATTGCTGCCTTCTTATAAATTTGGGAAAAAATATGCTAAAAAATTTGCTTCCGGTGAGTAGGGGGTTCCCCCACCTAAATTCCCAGAATCACGCAACCGCTTACTCGCTTATATATCATCCTTGATTAAGGCATAAACTCTCTCCCACCACTGGCTGTAACATTTTAAAGTATTTTTTGACCGAGTGAGAGGAATAAAGTTGTATTCTACCCTAAGATGTCGAATAGTTGCTTGAGAATAAAATTAACACTAATCATGCGTCTCCGGCCACTATTAACTGCCGGTGAGAGTCGGTCAGTTAGTTTAAATATTCTCAGAATATTCTCTCGGTTATAATATCCGATTTGGATGTTATCCTTTCGAGCAATATCATTCATGACTTTCATAATAATATTTTATGTGATATACAGACTTCTTTCTTATCCTATGTCTATTTTCATAAAAGTCAACTTATTCGAAAGCAAAATATTCATCATGCACTTGGCCACAGTTCTTACACACGAGATAACCGTCTTTAATCAGTCTCATAGAATCGCAGCAAAAATACCTCTTAGGCCTACCTGGATCTTGTATCGGCTTGGAACAAAAGATGCAAATAACGGTATCCTCTTCCTAGACCAATTTCTAGTGAATTTCTTTAGTACACATTAGTAGTACACTATTATATAAGATAATATCTCTTCACGTTTACTTGTCACCACTGAGACTGAGTAGAACAAAGGGACACAAATTACATCCCATATTGATGAGAATATTAAATTATATATAACGCTCATTTGAATGAGTAATAAAGTGTAACTATAAGAACATCACAACAAAGTTACAATCCAAATCATCTGACACAGCTGTGTCGTGACGTCATGGCACAGCTGTGGCGGAACATAAAGTTGTGTAATCATATAACAGCTTCTAGAATATTCTGATGACTTATTTCCCCGGGGAAGCCCCCTGTTTGAGAGTGAACGTATGCGTAACTAGATAGTGCCATTCTCAAAACAGCTCAAACTAACTTTATCTAACCTATTATTAGTTGAAGTCAATTGTCAATTCATCGATTAACTATTGTTGCTTTTTGGTTAGCTTTGACATTGCTTCCTCTTTTGGTGTCTTATTATATCTGGCCTTTGTTTTATAGCGCTTGCCATCAACAATGCCATCATAACAGAGTAACTTGTTAACTACATCATCCTTAATTCTAAGGGTTATGCCAAGTTTCCGCAATCTTTCTTGTCACCATTTTTCTGTCTCTAATTCTACTTTATAATGTATCTCTTTTCTCTCCACTTTTTGTACTGACATCTTGTTTAATATTCTATCCCCATACTTTGTACTGTAATCATGTATCCATTCAGTCTCCACCTTAATGAGACTCTTTCTGTCTTTACATGGGGCATACCCTAGCAATTCAATTCTATACACTAGCAACTCAATTTTGAGCTAGTCATTCCTGTATTTATACACGGCACTCTTTTTGTCTGTAACATGTTCATGTAATATGTTCTGCAATTCTTGGCATGTACTACCAACATAAATCTTGTCACATTTCTCAAAGACAATCTCTTACCATCATTATAGTCACTATTAAAGTAATTCTTTAGTATTTCTATATGTGGCTGTTGACGCGGTATACAGCGTTTGTTTAATAACTCGTTGCTGAGATGGATATATTCGAGCTTAGTTGTACGTGACAACGCTGTGTACAACTGCTTCTTGTCCATTCGGTTCACATTTGAAATATTGTAATGTTCGTCAATTTCTGAACCCCGATATTTTAATACAGTAGAGCAAAATGCTGGGAAGAAACACTGGCTAAATTTACTGTACTCAAATGTATACCCACCTATAGTAAACATGCTGCCATCCTCTGTTATATGCTCAATCTTAAACTCCATCATATTAAACAAATTATCGTTCTTAAGATTTTGTGTCACCAACATATGCATACCTACACAGACACTGTATCTCTCCCTTTTACTGTTATACAAAAAGTCAACCTCATAACTCTCCTTATCTTCGACAAACCTATGGCAACATTCCCTGGTTACATTTCGTCTGGTCTTATTGAGGTAACATATGTTCTTGTAGTATTGGCCTGTAGGGGCAAATTTACTTGTTACCTTTCCTGTTTCTAAAAACTTGGCAAGCACATCTCGTGTTTGTTCATCATAACGTACACAGCCTTCCTTATAATTCATCTCTACGCGCCTAGGGCACATTTCTGAGATTGGCACTGATGTAAAATAGTCATGATGTATTTGACTGCCGTTTTTGATAGGGTCACATTGATTGGTATCACCAAACATGTATATAGCGTTGTGATACTTGGTGAATGCCTGATATATCTTGGTCATCCATTTATTAGGCGTCATTGTACACTCTTCTATAAACACTGTTTTGCCCTCCAAACTGGATATATCCCGACCATGATAATGGCAAAAATAGCTGTCAAATGTATGACACTTATCTCGAAATTCCTCACTGATCTTACTTTTAATGTTCTCGATGGCTTTGTTAGTAAATGATAAGGTTACGGGATTTGTGGCTTTTGTCGCTAATGTGACAAGTTTTGTTGTCTTGCCGCAACCCGCGGCACCATAATAGATACAACCCCCGCCAACATAATCAGTATAGTTACTAGTATCAAAATTCTCGCGGTGCTTCTCAAAATATACAGGCACGCTGTCAGTAGTATATACGCTACCAATATTCTTGGTCACAAATTTGACATCTTTCTTGTTTGGGTATTGTTTCTTGGGGTTGGTCATGTGAATGCCATCTGTATTGACACTATACAGTTCTGATTCATTGGTCCAATCATCGTATATCAAATTGAGGCATTGCAGTGTACCTTGTGAAATGACAAATCTGTTGATCGAAGTATTGTCTGAAAAGTTGCGCTCTATTGTCCGCTCACGAATTAGAAATATGTAGCTGTCAATGAAAATGTCTCTGCCTTCAGCAAGCGCGGATGTCCAAATACACTGTGCGGTGTCCATGTCTCTACAAGTGCACCCGTGTTCTGTTCGTGTGTATTTGCGGCCCAACTCACCAATGAATGAGTTCGCAAGTAATTTTGCTTGTGCCTCTGTAAATGTGTCAAAAATGTACATCATAATATTTCAAAATGTGTCTGGCTTTAATGTCTTCTTAGTGGTGATGCACCATTTGACATTACTGGCTGGCATATGGAGACAAACCGGAGGACAGACAGGGAGCAGTGTACAAGATTAGATGCTGCGACTGCAAGGCTTCTTACATTAGTGAAACCGGCAGAAACCTAAGCACGCGACTGACCGAACACGAACGAGCGACGAGGAATGGTGACGTCAACAATCACATTGCTGAGCACCATTTACAGACGAAACATCAAATTGACTGGGACTCTTCGACAAGTATAACATATTCTACAGACTACTATCAACGCCTTACTTTAGAAAGCTGGTTTACTAACTTAGAACAAACGCCACTGAATCCTAGCCAACAGTTACCAGCGCCGTAAAAACGACTTATTGACGAGATCAAGCAAAACTAACTACGAGAGAACGACTGGACAACTGACAATTTGACTAACAATAGACGACTGTTTGATAGTGACAATAGACGGATCGCAACGCACCAACTACTTTTTGCGAGTCTTCATAGCCAATAACATCACGGCTTAACTGACAGACGACCAATAACATCGCGACGTAATTGACCAATCAGATCAATAACCAGAGTATTATACCATCAACTGACATGATACAACTCACTTTGACTCTGAAGATGACTACCGTACAGGTTGTCGAAACGTCAGTGACTCTCAAGAACAACAGTCCTATTCAGGACTACGTTCACCCGGACGATCAAACTCAACCTACTTTTGAAATGACTCCTGGGTTCAGACCTTTCACAGTCATATGGAGATTGTTAACAAGGTGCCATACTAAATCCCTGCTGTAAAATCCGGCTTCGATTTTGATATTAGCACCAAACCGCTGTATTACATATTCATCAATGTAAAATTCCCCATAATACTTTAATTGACTGCGGTGCGTAAATGGCTCTATGACATTGTGTATTGTGTAAACTGGGATTGGTGTCTTGTTGTCGATCAAGATTGAGAGGTAGCATTTGGAAATGTCTAATGAGACCAGATTATCTGGCTGTTCACTTGTGCTACACCATTGTAGTACACGGGGGTAGAAGTCATCTAGCACTTGTGCAGTGTCGTATTGACTCTCAGGCAAATAACCACACATCTGTTTGTACAAACTGGTGGCAAGACTTTTGTAACTCTGATTTGACCAAACAAAGTCATTCGTCTTGTACTTGTCAATTTATTACAAATCTCCTTGCGGGTGTCATATTCGTTGTTTAATACGTACATGTTGTTTTTGTGATCGAGAAACCCACCTAGTCTTCCATTATTGTCAAAATGTAGGTACTCCACAAAGTAATTTGTTCGGAGAATATACCGGTCAATAACTGGTTCAATTTTCACATCCTCAGGTAATACTATAACTTGACCACTAACGTCCAGTACCTCTTCTTCGCCCAGATCATTCAAGACCACAAATTTTTCATGCCATCTTTACCATTTCATGTCACTCATATGCTTCCACAAATTGTCAGTACCGCCCTGGTTAGTTTTTGTGGCTATGGTTTTGAGCCGCTCGTCTGTGATTGGGTAGCAGTGATGGTCTTTCACAAAGTAGACTAATGATATATCGCGCGATGTACCTAAATGTTTCATAAATTTGCGGTAGGTTGCGTCGTATGCATGAATAGACACATTAGAGTGACATACTTTAGCCCAATCCACTAATTCTTGTGTGCTCATCATTGGAAAACAAACAGCATATTCTTATACATCTCGTCACTTAACATCTTATAAGTATATGTTTTGAACCCTCTCTTTTTCTTACAATGATGCCGTACGAAATCCACCATACAGGTATTATCACCGCGCTGTTCGATTGGAAATTGTTTGTCCAAGAAAGAGGTGCTAAGTTTAAGGGCACCTGCTTTATGGTGCTTGAAAAAGTGCTCATTATGTGTTGTTATCTTAGCACCAAGATTGGCTATTGTTTGGGTTGACAATATAGAAAAATTGTTTTGTAGTAATGTATAAATCATATATTTGTACATTTCATGGTATCTATTTTTGGCACTGCCATTCTAAATGGACCATATGTCTTTGCTCTGATCGTACTTATTTCCTATTATATTCATCACATCGGCATTAATTGTGATTTGCACATTTTCCTATTTACCTGGTATATGCTTCAATCGTTCATTGAACAATTTCTGAATTGAACTATCTGGTGTAAAACGGGTTACCGTTGTCTTATCCAATTCATCATGCCTCATATCAGCTATAGAAACAGGCTTCTTAGCATATGTAATAACAGATTCCGTTTCTCTGGCCTTATCTTCAAAAAACTTAATTTTGTCCTTCACCATGGCATTTGCTGCAAGATACTTCAGTGACCTAACCCTGTTTGATGTATTAGGTTGTGGCAACTTAGCTGGCCGCATAATTGATCGTTCTCACTGATTTGCAGCTAGTTCCAACAATGATTTGATTGGCTTGACAGTGTTTTCTGTCCCAATTGGCTTGACGGTGTTCTCCGTCCCCTTTTGCTGCTCTAATAACATATTGATTAACACGTCCTTAGACATTTTTGATAATTGATTTCTATTCATATTATTATGGTAGATAATCTTGCTATTCTGATTTACCTTTCTCATAGGCATACTTATATATATATCGAAATCCTTTTATGTCTTTCGTTTTAGCCAAATAATTAGTGAATACGGGATGAGAATGGCTCTCAGTAACAATAATAATAATGGGGGTGAGTTTCGTCCGGCGCAGCTATGGTAGTCTCAGTATTTACATATTACCGTAATAATTATTTGCAAGGAACAAATTTGTGCAAATCCATTGTTTTCCCCGAATGTGCCACAATTCAGTAGCCGTAACCACTTCCTAAAGCACACAGTCTAAATATTCGTCGCCGCAATTAGTCGTCCCAGGACCTCCACTAGGCAAGTCAACTTGCCTGCCCAAACAATAGCAATCCCTTGTCAAAGCGGTTGTAGAATATATTCCTCCATTGTGTGGGAAAATTTACTAGGATATGATAACCTGATTGAGTCAATGCAGAAAAAAAAGCAATGTCATCGGATCGCATGAGGAAATATACAAAGAGTATGGAATAACGTTTTCAAACTTCATTTAAAGAAAAGCTAGGAAAGAAGACGAGGATCGGTTAAACATGATAGTAAGGCCACTCACCGAAAAGTTCATCCCACAAAAATTATATAAACCACAAACAACTAGCTGCAAACACAGGCCGTTCCATTCCATCCAGGTATCAGGTTAGCCTCTGTTATCGTTCAACAAAACCAACTTGTGGCTTCAAACAACTTCATTGAAGCTGTTGTACGAGCTTTCTGTATGGCGACCGAGGAAATTTTAGGGTGTTTCTTTACTGAAATCCAAGATCAGATCCAAAATCTGGATGATTAGGATTTTTCTTTGAGAAAAGAAACGGTATTAACAAAAGATTATTTTTCGCACAATATCGAAGGTATCGTGGAGAAAAAAACAAGGCCAATGTTGCAAGTTTCAGTGCTATTCTGGGCGCGGGAAGATGACTGAGCTTAATATACAAATTTAGCCAGGGCTAAAAGCGAAGCCTCCGTTTATATACTTAGGCCCTGCTTACAAGGAGAGAGGGTAACCAGGGTGCTAGGGTTACCCTAGCAAGAGGGTTACCCTTGCCCTCGCACATTTCTTCTTTTTTTACACGACGTGATTTCAAGGTAGCTAGGGTAACCCTACCTGAGTGTTAGGGTTACCTTAGGATGAGGGTTACCCTACCTGCTTTGTAAACGCTCTGCTAGGGATAACTCGCATACCCAGGAATACTTTCTTCCGTCATGCGTGACCAGTAATCGTGACTATTTGAACGGATCTATCCAATTTCTGAGCTAAGTTATAAACATCTGAACAATTCGTAAATTTAACGCGTTTTTTTTCATTTGTGCATATGTGCGTGTACTTTATATATATATCCGAGTTTTAGCGCTAAATAAGATATAGGAAGCCGTTTTTCGCATTGCTAGGTGATTGCTCCTATTTTCCTTTTAATAGACGGTCCGAAAACCGAGATCAAGTTACTTAACGGGCAAGCCGAGGCAAGCCTATTATGCCTATTGTAGTATTCGCTCATTAGTAAACCCATCCACATCATTATATATGGAGTAAGGCACTTAAGAGGCAGTCTCCCTAAACGAGTTCCACTCGATTTTGGACTGGAAAAATCTTTTGCCTTATAATTTTACCATCAACACTACTATCCATCCTAATAACGAAATTGCAGTTAGAATGAGGAAATGGTTTATTTTACTGCCATTCCAACATTTCATTGCTGGACGACCGTTAGCGGCTAAAATATGCAAATTTTAGTCTCTGTTATACAGGTTTTTTAACGATCGTTCTAAAGTTCTTCGGGTCATCAAATCCTAGACTATTGCACTCATTTGGAAGTATATTACTTCTTCTTACTGTTCCAATACCGTTTAGGCATTATCTTTCTGTAAACAGCAAAAACTGGTCGTCTTTATTTCGCTAATCCAATTAAGAAAGCAAACTGCACGAAAATATGCCTCAAAATCATCAGAAAATTCTCGAAAGTGGCACCTAAACTAGACCTAAAAACATGTTTTAGTTAAAGATTAATAGCTATTTTGTCAAGTTATGCAAGAAAACTTGTGGCACAACGCGATTCAGAATTGAAGGTTTGAACTCAAATTTAGGCAAGTTTTCAATTTGCGTTGCGTGACGATACCGGCTGCTGTCACAGCAAAATCCTCAGTTATTCAAATACTTGCCACTTCTAATTAAGATATGCCTCATTTTCCCACAAAAAACTGTATTAAAATTCCCTTTTTCCCTTTGCTAATGATATATATTTTTCAAAAATTAGTTCAGCAAGTAAAAGATACCTTTCCAAGCCTCATTTAATATTCCCACAGCCCCGAACATTCATGTTAAGTCTGTTATGTCAAGACGTAAAAATTCCTTTTCTGAACCAAACCTCTTCTAGCTTAAAATGTGGCC